GAGACTATGCAGACTTATTAAGACTGTGAAATTTTTACAAAAGCGAATATTAAAGAGGGTGCTATTTCGTGGAAATGACAGCGATTTACAACTGGTCGGAACCTCATCCAAACGCAGTAAAGTGTGCCACACTTACGTCACATCTATTACAAGATGCTGTATGATGCAAGGTCATATATCAAAATTTCTTTCGTACTGTCGCCCCTGTTGAACTGGTCGGCGGTCATAAAAGTTAGACTAATTTAGGTCCCTGGAAAAATTCTGACCTGGCCTATTATTAAGATTGAGAGACAGTGCTGCGAAGTTTCGATCATTATGGTTGGAATTACGGTTTCACTGAGTGCTAAGATCGATATATTTTAGTACGTTGATCACAGTATCATGCTCTTCGAAAGAATTAGTAGCTTTAGGTTGATCGTAAGAACCTGTGTTGGGTGTTTTGCGAGCAAGTGTAAGATTTTCGGCCTGGCAAGCTTTAAACTAAGGCATCTTCAGAGAATATCTACAAATCGAATAATATTTCTGGATGCAAGCGGCCCATAAAGTGGTCAAAAAGCATGTCCTTAAACGTGCGCACACTTAAACCAACAGTGACCGCTTGAACGGTATAGCGCAGGTGCTCCATAAATGCAGTTATTTTTCGCCATCCCATTTTTGGCAATTAAGGAGTTTTTGTCTGGCTATATTTCGTGGATACACTGTTTCTGGCAATTCAAACAGACCCTCTAGTTTGCTAATCGCTAAATCAAAATCATTTTCAGTATTATCATCAAATGACTCATACTCGTCACAAAATAAACCATTAAGATCGAGACGCAGTTTGCGCAGGACAGAATGCCTTCTGATACAATTCCCTGACCAGTACTGCTGCTCTCGGACCTTCTTCCCGACGGCATTCAATAAACTTGTCCGACTGCGATTTCTTATATTTGTAGCACTCATTATCATTTCTTTTTTCAACGGCAACTCTGCAAAAGACTACGAATGTACAGCTGTGAAAATATTCCGGAAAGAAGCAACGGCAGTTAGGGCAATTCGAAAAAAAAAAGCAAAAATTGAAAAAAGACCGTGAGACAAATACTATCGTTCATTCCACTTAATCTGAACGACTCAAGCTAAAACTGAAAACGTAATCTCAAGATGCTCCTTTTTTTGTTATGGGTGAACTCCAACTGAGAACCAAATCAGATGTAACCGTAGCATAAAATGCACCAAGTTGGCCGCTGCGATCCGCGTTTTTGCACTAAACTTGAAGCAAACAAGTTATTATTGCATGAGCGGTTGCTTCTTTACACCTACCATTTGCGCTCACTAGCACAAATCATCGTAAACTTTGCATGACGAAAAAAAAAAACAATTTCCACTTAACGGTCGTTCTTTGAAAATGACCTGGCTTTTCAGGAAATAATTTAAGTGTCCGTACGTGAAAACTACGCATACCCGGAGGCCGAATTTGAAAACTTTAAGTCATACTTGAGCAGAAAACGTTCCGTTAAAATTTCAGTCTTCCAGCTTTCTCGGTTTCGAAGTTAGCAGTTTTTCCCGCCGTAAATGAGAATCACGCAAACCGGGAGGCTGAAGTTGAAATATTTGTGTTCTACGTGGATGGGGGAAATTCCCTTAAAATTTTAGTCTCCCAGCTGCTCCGGTTCTCAAGCTAGCAATTTTCCCGTCAAAACTTTCACATGCTCGAATGTGAGTATCACTCGTATCTGGGGGACGAAGTTGAAATATTTTTGTTGCACATGGATGGGGACATCCCCTTAAAATTTCGATTTCCCAGCTGTTCAGGTTCTCGACTTGGCAATTTTCCGGCTAAAATCTTTACGTCCTCGTACGCGGGGCACAGGAGTACCTGAGGGTTGGCACTTGGCCGGGGAAACAGAAGGTAAAATTTCAGCGCCGAAGCTAGTCTGGTTTGACACACACACACACAAACACACACACACATACACACAACCCCACATACACACAGACATATACACACATCATGGGTCATCACAATATGTGTTTCTGCACTTAAATATATTCAAAAACGCATGAAAGAGACAGACTGTACATGGAACAGTGTAAACGTGAAAAGCCTATGATCGTGTCTGATGGAAAAGTTATCCACTGCACGGATGAAGATTCATGCTATCAATCGTGGCTCTTCCACGTATCTTAAAGAAATGGATGTCGTACAAACAAACCTCGTAACTTCTTGCTTGGAAAAATCAATCCGAATCAAGCCATAAAATAGGTCGAAACGATAACCAAGCAATGCAAAAACAGTCGATAGAAGGCATAAAGAAGATATAGCAAATGCTGGTAAACGATACCACCAACTCAGTCGGTTTAGAAATGAGTCCACAAAACCACCAAAGGCGCCACCAAACTGCAACATACACCAAACCCATGTGAAATTAACGAGATGAACATTCTGGTGCTGAGCAAATTAATCCATGGCCTGTCACATAATATATCAAATAATGATTAATGGTTTTTTTGTTAAAAATGGCGTAAAGAACAATTGCGTCACTATGATGCAATTCTCCGGTCCCTGGGTTCAAACTTTGAACACCCTACCCCGTTAAAGTTGTGCAATCTTAGTAATCTCTGACCCTTGGGTATAAAAGCACTCCTCTCCGCCTCCGGTATTCCAGAGTCATTTCCAAATGCTTGAGAAAGCTACCTCCTGCCGACTTATCCCTGTTCTGGGGAGCTTCGGTCCCCTAGAACCTTACCACTCTTATTCTATTGCCTTTTTATGCGT